AGAACTTAGAAGACAGAACCTACACAGAACCTAGAGACAGAAGAACTTCGCTGGAGAGAACATGGCAAAAGATCCTGGACAGAACCTGGCTACAGAACCTGGCTACCGAACCTGGCTGGAGAACCGAGCGAGAGAACATGGCTACAGAACCTGGCTGGAGAACCTGGAGAACCTGGCTGGAGAACCTAGCAAGAGAACATGGACACAGACCTTGGCTGGAGATTGTGGCTAGAGATCCTGGCAAGGCTGCTGATCAACTGAACGCTGTCTCCATGTCATTCCTTCTTCGCCGACTCCGTCCACACCTTTGGGAACCCCTGGACCTGCTGGGGTTGGACCCTGGCAAGAGGAGTTCACCATTGAAGAATACAGTGCTCCATGTAGTGCTGGTAAAGTAGAAACAGAAATCTAATGCCAACATAAAGAAAATAAATATCTGTTGTCTTCACAATGCTGATTCTTGAATATCTCTGGGGCATCATTTATGAATTAAAGTATTTCAAATGTATTATAGAATTTCAATAGAAAAATGCAAGTGAAGTATAATTACTGGTGTCTGGGATAACTTGTTTAAAGATGAATTCAGTAATTTGCTGCATATAAAAAAACAAGTAATCTAATATCTACTTTAGGTTCCATACCTAATGGTAATACATTTATCATCTGTGACCTTCCTACAGTGTTTCTAAACTTAGACTAGGAAACTTTTCACTGTAACTATCCATACAGCACAGAGTGAGAGATGTGATCTACAAGACCTTCCTCTAGAGGTTGACAGAGTTCATCTTTGACGGTAGAACACTTGCTGAGAGACTTTCAATTCTCTGCTTTAAAATATAAAAAGAAAAAACTACAACAGCTCTATCACTAAATATAATTAAAATATATTAAGTTTAAATATTTATTCTTTATAAATAAAATATGAACATTATTCCTTTAGTAGAACACAGAATTCCCCTAATATTTCTACCTTTCCTTTTACTGTGTAGAATCTGAACATGGAAAAGCTTGAAAATGGAAACGTACGGGTCTTATCAAATGAAATTCCCCACAAATGAAGAACAAAGACTTATCAGGAGAGAAGATAGTGGGAGAAAGAAGGAATAGAAATTGGAAATAGATACAATTTGTATGTTGATTAAATTTATGATATTTACAACTCTATTTTTTCTTTTGTTCTTTATCAATGTTATATTTCCCTTCTGAAATATGTACCTATTCCCCATAATGTTTTTAAAAACAATAAAATATTATACAAAAAGTGCATTCAAAATCACTTCAAATAAAATGGAGTTGCAAAAAATGTTCAAGTAACCCACAGGAAGGTAGAAAAAGCACCACTTTCTAAGCATTGAAACAGCTAAAATGTTGATCAATAGGTGAATGATTAAACTAACTGTGTTATGTACATTCATATCACAAAATACTACTCAGCAATAAAAAGGAGAAAACTACTGATATACACAACTTGGGTGATTCTCAAAAACATTATGCTAAGTGAAATTAAAGCCAATTTCAAGGGGTCATATCATATAATTCCTTTTATATAGCATTCTTAAAATGACAATATTACAGAAGTGAAAAAAAATGAGTGATTCCCAGGCTTATGAATGATAGAGCAAGGGAGAAGGGTGTGACTATAAAGGTATAGCATTAGAGAGATCTTTGTGGTGATGAAATCTTGCATATGTGAGAACAAAGGTCTGGTTCAAGTTTTTACATTTAATTCCATCTCAAATTATTGTTGCGTGATAAGTGAGTATCGAAATGGACTTTCCTGGGAGGTGGAGGGGAGAGGGGAATAGGGAACATCTGTAATAAGGTCAACAATAAGAAAAAGAAAGAAAGAAAAAGAGAAAGGGAGGGAGGGAGGGAGGGAGGGAAGGAGTTGCAGTCAGGTAGCAGAGCAGCTACACTCAGACATTGATTGAGGTAGGCTGGCTGGGTTGTGCCTGTCACTACTGGCAAATCAAACTGTTCTTGGTGTAGGTGCTGCTAATAATGCCTGGCAACTTGGCCAGAAAAAAAGTGTTTGAACAAATTATAAAATGTTTAATCCATGAAATAAAGTATAAAGCTGATCATGTTTAAAAAAAGAGGAATATTAATATATAATTTGATGTGTGTATAGAAAGAAGAAAGAAAGAAAGAAAGAAAGAAAGAAAGGAAGGAAGGAAGGAAGGAAGGAAAGAAAGAAAGAAAGAAAGAAAGAAAGAAAGAAAGAAAGAAAGAAAGGAAGAAAGAAAGAAAGAAGAGATTTACTTCTTGTGTAGCTTTCTGATAGTCCCATTTTCATTTATTGACCAATTATATATTTCTCTGCTAATAAAAAGTGCCTCCTTTATCACACACTAAATTATCATACATTCTAAGGCTTGTTTCTGAGTGATTTATTCTATCCCATTAATTAGCTAGATGGTCTATTCTTTCATAGACTCCTTGTTTCTCTGTTTTCATGTTTTCTTTGTACTACTAAGCTCATTATTTATTCCAAGTAAAACTCTGAAATCCATTTATCAAGTTAATTAACCACCTATTCATATTGGGTACTTAGTACAGCATTGGATGTGAATGAATTTATAGTGATTATGCATGTCAATACTTTACAGTATTTAGCCATCCCTACTTACTCATATTTTATCTTATTTATTCAATTCACATGAAGTGAATGCTAATTCTGACTTAATTTCTGAATATGAACCAACTACAAAGTCAAAATTAAAGATTAACTTTATGGACATATATAATAAGATAAGTTAAAAGCATAAAATAATGTATATGTGGGAAAAGTATAAAGAGATGGGCAAAAATAAAATTACAAGATAATGAAAGAACAAAGCAATATTTTTTTTCTTTTTTTGGTGCCCTTGACCAGAATCGAACCTGGGACCCTTCAGTCCGCAGGCTGACACTCTATCCACTGAGCCAAACCAGCCAAGGCAAAACAATATTTCTTATTTGTTGATAGGAACCATTGAAAAATTTTAGCAAGAGAATATTTCAGATTCACATTATGAGAGTTTATTTTCTGGGGAGAAGAAAGCAAGTTTCTGCTGACCTCCAGATAAATAGCCCATTTGTGCAGAACTGCTCTCTCTTCTTCAGGCTACATCCAATTATCCAAATTTTTAGCACAAATATCTCTCTTCCAACATATACAATTCCACATTCTTAAAAATTGCTTATTTTCCTCTAATTTATAGACTCAAATCTCTTTAAAAACCAAATCTGTGTCTTTTTCTGTCTTTTACTAAAATATATTTTTATTGATTTCAGAGAGGGAGAGATAAAAACATCTACACTAATAATAGACAAATATGTAAATTATATGTACCTTTGTGATGCCCCACAGCCAATCAGGAGTGAGTATGCAAATTAAGCCAACAAAAATGGCAGGCCTGTGGGCAGCGCACATGTGTGCAGGCACCGAGCAGCCAGGGGACGTGGCAGGACACAGGAGTTCCGCACTCCCCCAGCCACACTCTGGGCCTCTGGGCAGTGTGGGAAGGCGGAAAGGGGTTCTGGGCCAGAGTGAAGGCAGAAAGGTGGCTCCGGCCAGAGGAAAGGCGGTGCGGGCAGCCAGGGGAAGGAAGGCCCATTCTTGCATGAATCTTCATGCATCGGGCCTCTAGTCAATGATGAGAGAGAGTCATTGATTGGCTGTCTCCTGCACAGTCCCCACAGGGAATCAAGCCCACAACCCAGGCATGTGCCCTGACAGAGAATCAAACCATGACCTCCTGGTTCACAGGTTGACACTCAACCACTGAGCTACACTGGCCAGGCCCAAACCTGTGTCTTTTTTTATTATTATCTTTATTGTTGAGATTATTATAAATGTCCCTCTTTTTCCTCCCCATTGCTCCCCTCCACCCAGTTCCGCCCTGCCCCAGGCCTTTGCCACCCTATTGTCTGTGTCCATAGATAATGCACATTTGCATATAAGATCTTTATTTAATCTCTTCCTGCTCCCCCAAACACCTTCCCTCTGAGGATCATCAGTCTGTTTTATTTTCATGCCTCTGATTCTATTTTATTCACCAGTTTATTCTGTTCATTAGATTACTTACTCATTTATTTTGATTTTTAGATTTAATTGTTATAGATATGTATTTATTGTCATTTTATTGTTCATAATTTTGACCTTCTTCTTCTTTTTCCTCTTCTTAAAGAATATCCTTCAAAAGTTCATATAATACTGGTTTGGTGGTGATTAACTCCTTTAGCTTTTTCTTGTCTGTGAAACTCTTTATCTGACCTTCAATTTTAAATGATAGCTTTGCTGGGTAGAGTAATCTTGGTTGTTGGTCCTTGCTATTCATCACTTTGAATATTTCTTGCAACTCCCTTCTGGCCTGCATAGTTTCTGTTGAGAAATCAGCTGACAGTCTTATGGGTACTCCCTTCTAGGTAACTAACTGTTTTTCAC